CGGGGCGGTAGGGGGGGGGGGGGAGAATACTACCGACTATCAAGAGAATCAGTTTTAAAATATGAATGAGTGAGCCTCCGCGAATGGATGTCTGTAAGAGCAAGAAAGAAAAATGGGGGCAGGGAATAGGGAAGTAAGTAAAAAAAGAAAGGATGGAAGATGGTATAACATACTCAGGCCATGTCTAGTTTACCATATGCTAGCTAGAATATTCTCACTCAAACGCAGAGAATGCACACTGCTTTTTTACGCATGATAAACTAGTTAAATAAACCAGTTTACCATGTTTTGAAGTCTACACACTTGAAAATATGTTAGAGCATCATTAGATAATTTGTTCTCTTATGATTGTTAAATCCTATGCTAGACTAAGACAGATCATGAATTAAGAACAGGAAACTAAGAGTTCTGGCTCTGACTGTCTCTTGTTCTCCCGGTAGCCTTGGGTATTGCTTATCCTGCCTAGGTTCCAGTATCCTAACATGGAAACTGGTAATAAACATACTTACCTATTTCAGTGCTATGTGGAGGATTATGTAGTTTATATTTATAAAGTGCTACGATACAAAGCTCTAAGTAAGTTGCATTATTATTATTAGAAGTCAATGAATAGCATTCAAAGAATTCAAGCAATAAAATGAGCCAGCATATACAGAGGAGTAAGATAAAGCAAATCATGATGTAAATAATTAACGAGCATTTCAAATGAAAATTTGGAAGCAAGGAATTTAGAGTCATTTTAAAAAGGTGAGGCACTGAGCCCTGGGGACAGGAATATTTTTCTCATCTACTGGCTAAAGCACGACACATTATAAGATCACGTTTACATCAAAAGCAAATTTGTCAGTTACTGCTTTTGTTGAGAATTCTCTTCCTTTACAGCACAGAAAGCACTAGAAAGATTTTTTTCTTGGATCAGCAAATGTCCATTGTCATAAGATGATGTAACAGGTATTCTGTTTCCCCTATTAAGTGGACTCATAACTGGTATATTGAGATAGAGATAACGGTAGAGTTAGGACTCTCGTCCTGGTAATACTTGTGCACGTGCATGTTTTTACACTCTTTGTAAGCAGTCCTGTTCTAGATAGAAGTCCCAAAGCTGCATGTTCCCACTCCTAGTGCATGAAGTTAAGAAGGTGCCTAAAATCTCTGCAAGATCAGGTCCCTGTGTGTATTTTGAATATCAGGACGTGTATTAACTACATCATTTATATATCTAGAAACAGTTGTAATGTATAAGAGTGACAGAGTACTTTAGCTCAATCCTGCAACTCTTAGTCATATAAAGTAATTATAATGCAACTAGTTATGTTAGTAATGTTTGCAAGATCAAACACACAATTTTTATCAACAAGACGAATCTAAGGAAGTAGCATAATATTAAAATGCTTATATTGTGCAGAAGCTTTTCCTTTTATCCCCCTAAGAAGTGATTTTATTAAAAACAATGTACATTTTCAAACAAGTGCTGTTTTATTACTTAATATAGATCTCTCTCTCTCTCTCTTTTTGCTAAATCAAACAGTAAATTTCCAGGCTTTCACAATTATTTTAGCACTTGATATCCTAAGGGATTGTCTTGTTCAGTTTGTTTTATCTTTAATACACACGCATGTTGTTTTTGGCTGCTGGATACATCTATTCTTCCTAGCTTTGTAAATATATTTTTCATATAGGTAATATAAACAATCCACCAAGTTTCAGTAGTAGTTTGGGTCTGGAACTATGGGTATTTTCTGCCCTTTGTGGGATGCAGTAAAAAGCTGACCCCAAGATATTTAATAAACATGAGTTACATAGCTTCATCAGTTCAGTCTGAGAGTGATCCATATTATAGTGCCATCCTACAATTTGAGCATTATAGTGCTTCTATATTCAGAGGCTATTGTTGTATCTAGCTCAAAGGTAAGGGAAATAGTATGAGCAGAATGATTACTATCTCCCCAGGTTAATGTTAAGACCTACCACTGACAATTCAGAACGTAGCTTTTTAAGTATATAAAGAAGCTATTGCTCTTATCTGGCAGTGGGTCCTGAAACCCCTCATTTCCCTCCCTGACACATTAACTTGTGCCAGCTCACCTGAGGAGTAGCACCCAGCCAAGGTCCAGTGGTCAGCAAGCCTGGTAAGAAAGCACCTCTATGCTCTTCCTTCACATGGGTGGTGGGAGAGGGGCTCTAAAGGAAAAACAAACAAACATTGACTCATCCCAAATTTCAACTGGAGTTAAATGGGATGAAGAATCGGGCTGAGTCCCCCTCCCTCCATTCCAGGTGAATCACTGGAATCACTGGTGCTGAGGATCTGAAGCTACTCTACAGGATTTTGAAAGGCAGCACTTAAAAATAATCATTTTCTCCCAAATTCCTAGGAAAAAATAGTAAGTAGTGTCATATTTTAATCCTCAATTCTACCAAACTGTGCGCGCCTAAGTAGCTAAGATAACTGATTATTCCTCCTCCTAGCAAAAGATTCAGTTCAATGTCAAAGTCTTTCTCAGTTTTAAAAAAGAGTGCATATGTTCACACACTCCTTGTACAGACTGAAGCAAGATGGCAGTGTACTGTTATCTCTTACTAAAAAGCCTCTGTTTAGTCTGGCAGGAAGAAGAGAGACACTAATTTCCTTTGCTATGTTTAAGGCTTTATTTACTTAGTGCTATATTGGATTGGCCAAGGTAAACTAACCTGAATCTGCTCTGCAGGAACATGGATAATGTGGGAAGGCCTGTCACCATGGTGATGAACTGCATTGCTTTCTTGTTCATAAATGGCATCTCGTTCAGGCTGAGGAAGACTGAGGAACCTTCGGATCATTGAGAGATTCTCCCATAAGGTCCTGTTTTCTGGCGAGGGATCTTCTTTCCAACGTAACAGTTCACAGAGCCAACCCTTGAAGATAACATCATCAAAATTAGTTTTCCACACTTAATAATAGACAATTTCTACCCTTAGTTACATCTCCTTTAAATCAAAACTGGTTTAAAAAGTGTGGTGTATGAGGACAGGAGACACAACATTGCTTATTCCTTCATATACTTCTTGGCAAAAAATTACTTTCATGTTAAATTCTGGATCCCTATGCTGAAATTCAAAGCAAATACCATCATGTCAGGAGTCTGCCATATTATTTCACAAAGCTGTCACAGAATAGGAGGTTTTTTGGGTAGCACATCTCTGTACCAATGCTATACTTTTTAGAAACAAAATACCTGATCAAGACAGCATCTCGCCACAAAGTAGAACACTACTTTATAAAACTCCATGTTCTATCTTCTACTTTTCTATTTTGTATTTAAGTCTACATCCATTGGAAAGCATTAAGCACAAAGATGGGCTAAGATTATTTGTTTACTGCCATTCTTTTTTCTTTATGTTGCAACGGATATTATAAAACTCGGGGATAAAGACAGTTAAGTCCTTAAGAAAACCTACCTCTTTCTTTGTTGTACTTAAGGAAACAAAAACTATATTTCAATAGCTAGTAGATTATGTCTTTTAGGTTTTTTTTTGTTTTGTTTTTTGTCCTAGTACTACAATTTTTCTTATTTGGAAAGAATATTTCAGATATCTGTCTTGATTGTAGAGCTGCCTAATGTAAAGCATAATGATAGAGAAATTCCCAAATGTCCTTTAAAAAAAAAAAAAAAAAAAAAAAAAAAGGCCTTTGCATAACCATTGAGAAGTTATGCCTTCTTCATCAGTGCTATGTGCAGAAGTGGCTCTGAGAATAAACTTATCTACCATGTCATAGATGTTAATTTGTTTCAGCATTTCTTTTTTAAAACAGGTTTTTTTCCGTTAGACTCACACTTTTATGCATGCTATTATGGATTAACGAAGGGATTTATGATCTACTTTTTATACCATTCCTATATCATAGTACATGCAAAATCTCTGAAAATGCAAACTGAGTAAGCATGATGCCAAAAGACTATCCTAGGAGAACTGTAGTGATTACTAATTTGCTTCTAAAATAGACCAGCAGTTACATCTTGAATATTTAGCAATTGCTCACTTCTGATATTGTAAAATCAAATCCTGGCATGTTTCTTGGCTTTGTATTGAAAGTTTTAAGGAGTAACAGAAACTCAAACCAGCAAGTATAGCATGCATCAGCAACACATTTCTTTGTACATAAAAATACTTAGACAATTACTAGCTCTATAAATTTTACTTTTTAATACTATATGGAAAATGATGTGATACTTTCTTGACTAACACACAACATGTAAGTTCCGATACTTTTTAGACTTATTTGTCAGGCACAGGTACTGTTGGTCTAAAGTGGTTCAGCCAGACAAGTTTACTATATTTTCTTTAAGTACAAGAAAAAAAAAAAAGGTAGGTTTTCTTAAGGACTTATCTACCTTTATCCAGGAGTTTTAAAATATCATTGCAACATGAAGAAAAAACAATGGAAGTAAACAAATAATCTTAGCACTTCTTTGTGCTAATGAAAATATCTAGGAGGGAGCTAAAAATTTCAAATATATGCCCTTGGATATAGGAGGAGACCTCTTAAACAATGAACACTACAGGAAATGCCTTAGTTATGTAAATTAAAACAAATGTTAGAAATATGATGATAGTACAGTTGAGAATCCAAATTTCAAATTCAAAGAAGCCTTGCTTGATGCTTCATGCCTTGGTAAATGAATAGAGTCCCAGATGCTGCAACCTTACAGAAGACCAACTTGCTGCTTCACAGAATACTACTGACAGGACTCCCTATTGTGCTTGCCATTGTAACAGCGCACAAGGTGTAGTAAGCTAATAAGCTAACCAGCCCCGTAGCAAAAATACTGTGATGTATAGCATGCCCTAAAAGACTTTTCATTTTAAAGCAGTCAAGGACACCTAACTGTGTGTTTTCACAACCCAACCTAAAATGTCCTACTTTATGCTTGTAGATTAGTATATGGACCACAGATAAACTCTGAATTATATTGTTCCTTCAGTCCCTCTAACATGAATCTATGTGCAGAGAAAGGGATTCAGCAGCATGTTTTTCCTCTTATTTTGTGCAAATCAGTTAAAAGGGCAAAAATCAAGTAATAGATTATTTTGAAAGAAAGGCAGGACATTTAACTGAAAATATCATTATGAAAATGTTAATTCGGAAACAGTGAAAACTGGGTTTTTTTAACGTTTGTAGTCGGTACGGCTTCCCATCTAAAATGTGCAGCATTATACTGGTATTTGTGAAACAGAAAGCAAAACTGAGAAGTCTATTCATATCAGAGCAGGCAAGTAAAACAGAGAAGAAAAGTAAAAAATACCCAAACTGCAGAAATCTAAACCATCAGTAAGGACATTTGCTTTTTTCATATCACACTGTCCATTTAAAATTTAAGTATACCCTAGCGAACCACAGATATCCTTTAGAAAAGACAGCTGTTAGTTCTTTTAAAAACATCTTAGAATAATTCCTAAATAAGTACATGTATGTTGATTTAAAAAATATTTTGGAAAAATAGCTTTGATTCACTAACAAATATTTTTTCTTATATTGTTACTTTTGCGTTTTTATACTACTTGATTAAGCCTTATTTTTATTAATTATCCATGACTAACATAACATTTCCAGTAATTTGCTATTAACCTTTGCCCTGAAATAGTATGTCTAATCCTTTATCTAAAAATAATTTGACAAATCGTAAGTTGGAACATTCTGTGTTAGCCTTGCAAGGAGATAGTGATTTTAAGAGACTGAAATCAGATGCTCCTGACAAAATATTTAAAACCTGCAGCTGTAGACAGCTATTCTAACAAAAATGTGTATTTTTCCATTTTATACTTCACATTTTAAAAGGAGCAGACAGATATTTTGGTGCAGGGTCTGTGTGGCAACAAGGAAATAGCCAATTGGATTTTTCTAAAATTACAAGGGTAGAAAGAATTTACTGGCTTTCCTATCTATTTCTGAGTACTTGCACAAAGGCTGATTTTATTAATGTCTAAGCACATAGAGGATGAACAAGCATGAATAGGAGCCGTATGGTTTAACTTCCACAGGAGACCAAAATCTTCATACCAGTATAACTTGTTCTGGATCAAAGAAATAATTAATTGTTTGCATATTCTTCATAGTTTTTGAGTTCAGGGTTCTGTACCACACAGTGCCTCAATCACCCAAGTAACAAATTGAGAAATCTGAAATGACTGTAATATTTAGGAGACCCCCCCCCCCCAACATTTGGAAGGACTTCAAAAACCATGGCATTCTTTGTTTTGAATTTATATATACTTGGGGAGCAACAAAAAGAGCTGTAATTAGTATAGATTTTAAATTTAGAAATACATTTTATTGGACCAATTTCTGCCATCTTATGCTTAAGAAAGTCTAGAGCAATTCTACTGCCTTCCAATAAATTATTCCTAATTTATGCCATTATAACCTGATCACTCAAATTCCTAATTTATGCGATTAAGGCAGATTTGTCCCATAGTTCACAACTTTGTAGTCTTCTAAAAATTATAAGACTGTAAAGAAAGGAAAAAAAACAACTACTCGTCAGTACCCAAATTAGATCACAACTATTTTGAATAGTGTGTACACCACACAGTGAAGAAACAGCCTGAAAATAATTAGGCTGATGCCATATACAGCAAAGAGTAAAAAGCTAAAATGATACTGGGAACAACCTAAACTTTAAACATAGTAAATTTGCCAAGCAACATTACACTGAATATAAAGAGGGTACAAGGCAAAATACAAACATTAGCCACATGTAAATATGTTTGTAGAACTTTCAGGATGTTACTACTTTTCAAACTGCCAAAGTTTAATTTGACACCTTCTGTTCTAAAACCTTTGTTTCTATTCAAAATCACGCCTTTAGCTGCTATCAATCACTATGTTCTCCCTATTACTTAAAATACTGGCATGGGCCCTGGATAAGCTGAAAATGCCATGCAGATGAATTCTGAGATAATATGTTCAAACCTGTTATATACAACACAAATCCTGTAAAGTTATGTATTGTAAACCTACATTTATTGAGAACTAAAAGTCTTAAATCCATCTGCCACAAAGGAAATACTGTTATGCACTTTCGAGTAACCAAGTACCAGCTGCAAAGGTCTTGCTACAGTAAGCAAGAAAATGGTGAAGGAAGATGCTAAACCTAAGATATTTAAAATAAATATGAGTCTTTTGACTCATTTTCTGATCGGGATTTATTAAAGAAACATAAGACATTAGGAGAAAAAAAACCTGCGAAAACAGAGCAAGTGCCAAACTCCTGCAGATAAAGCACAAACAGGATAACAATGACAAATTTTATAGTCCATGAGACATTCAAAAGTATGCTTATTTTAAAGAAAAACTCAGCAGGTCTAAACTCAACATCACAACAATGTCTTTTGAAAATTTGAATTGCGCTACAATTAAATTCCTGACCTTTCCTAGTCTCAGCACCTACAGACAACAATCTTTGGATTCCACTTAACTCCTCCCCCTCCTTTTTTTTTTTTTTTTTTTTTAAACACACAAGCTGATGAAGATCAATTCAACATTAACAGGTTCAACATCAATTCTAACTGAATCAAGAAAAACTGTGCTATTATATCTTTTAAAATTTGTTAGGCAAATCCTTCCAGAGCAATGACTATATCAGGAGGTTCACCTCTGCCAAACGGAATGAGTCTACAAGGGAAGGACTTTGGGATAGAGCAGTTAAACTATGGTAGACCTGTTAGTGGTAACTATCATCAAATGACAAGTATGTCTTACTGCATAACTAGCAAGGAATCAAACATTTTTAAAAAAGAGCTGTAATTTGAATTCTAAAAGGCAAAACATTTTATAGTTGGTATGTGAATATATAAGGGGGTTTTCTTTTATATATTATATGCAGGAGTATTTTGTTCCAATCTCTGGGGCATAT